TAGGGAAAGGAAGAGTCTGTTTGCAGATTGAAGAAGAGCTTGTATGGCCTGAAACAAGCTCTTAGACAGTGGTACAAGAAATTTGATAATTTCATGCACAATACATGGTACGGAAGATGTCAGGCAGATCACTTTTCTTATGTCAGGTATTTTGATAATTCCTATGTCATCCTACTATTGTATGTGGATGATATACTTATTGCAGGTACTTGTATTGATGAGATCAATAATCTGAAGGAGCAGATGTCATAGCACTTTGCAATGAAAGATTTGGGAGTAGCGAAGCAAATCCTTGGTATGAGAATTGTCAGAGATAGAGTCAGAGGCATGTTGAGGCTCTCTCAGGTTGAGTATGTGAAAAAGTTACTTAGCAGATTCAACATGAATAAGGCCAAACTAGTTGGCACACCCTTAGGAAGTCACTTCAGACTCAACAAGAACCAGGCACCCAAGTCAGTGGAGGAACGATATCATATGAGTAAGGTTTCTTATGCTTCAGCTATTGATTCACTTATGTATGTTATGGTTTGCACCAGACCTGATATTGCCCATGCAGTGAGAGTTGTTAGCAGATACATGAGTAATCCTGGAAATGAACATTGGGAAACAGTGAAGTGGATCTTGAGGTACCTAAGAGGCTCTGCAAAAACTTGCTTGTGTTTCTCAGGAAAGAGTTTAGAGGTACGGGGCTATGCTGATACTGATCTAGCTGGAGACATTGGTACCAGAAGAAGTACTACATGCTATATTTATACTGTTGGTGGCACTGTAGTATCATGGGGCTCTAATCTGCAGAAGACAATTTTGTTGTCTGCTACAAAAGTTAAGTACATAGCAGTGTTAGAGACTGGTCAGAGGCTGCAAAGGAGATGATATGACTACCGGGCTTCTTGAAAGAATTAGGCAAGAAGAATCAGATGAGCATACTCTACAGTGATAGTCAGAGCGTCATGTTTCTTTCCAGGAATCCAACATTTCAGTTCAGGACAAAGCACATTCAGATCAAGTATCACTTCATACGATATTATTGGATGACAGACAACTGTTGCTTGAGAAAATTTGTGGAAGCCAGAACCCTGCTGATATGTTGACAATGAGTGTTACTTTGGCGAAACTGAAGTTGTGCACAACTTCAGTTGGTCTTCTGGTGTGAACACATGGGCCTTGAGTTGCAGAGGTGGAGGATTCAAGTTGGAAGAAAATGACTACGCATCCAGTGGAGGATATTTGTTTGAGGAAAGACGTTGCAGTCTGTGAACCAGTCTCCAAGTGGGAGATTTGTTGTGTGGAGCCCGGTTAATAAAAAATAAATAAAACTAACCCCTCCCTTCTCTTTGGTTAGTTCGCGAAAAAGGACCCCTACCGCTCCCGTCAGTTTGTGTTTCTTTAGTTCGCGAAAATAGGAAGTTCCCTCTCTCGCTCGCGAATCAGGAGAGGGCTTCGGCGAAGAGATCAATCGAACCAGGTGAAAACTTCGGCGCAGAAGTTTGCAGGAATTTGGGTTCGGCTGTTATCTCTTCTCTTCGAATCTTCTTCGATCTTCTCGTTCATGGGCGAATACGGTAGAAGCGATCGCAAGTTTTCTCCTCCTTCATGTGGTTGTTGCTTGCAGTGTTTTTCGCAAGGTGCTCTCTATTAGTTGTTTATGCGTGATTGGCAGAAGGAAGAAGAAGATAGTGGAAGAAAAATGTTGCTTTTTTTATTTCTTCTTAGTGGATTGTGGCAAAAGAGAAATAGTTTTTTCTCTTGTACGTTTTTTTTCTTCTTCGATATATTTCGGTGTAGAGAGAAGAGAGAAGAAGTGAGAGAAAGAGTTCGCTCTTGTAATTGGAGACGATCCACTGGTGTAATTTCCTCAATTAGTGAAAGCCTCTGCAACTCTGTGGATGTAGGCAAATTTGTCGAACCACGTAAATCTGTGTACTCTTTTCTGATGTGAATTTTCTTGTGCTATTTTATTCGCTTCGTCGTCGATTGTTAATCTATTTCAATATGCCACATCAGATGTCAATAGGGAGTGCTCATAGGAATTCATTATGTAATAGATGAATGATCTAAAGTGATGGGATATTTTTTGCTGATGAGTTGGATATTCATCATAGATCTTAGGAGACTTCTATCTAAGTGACCAAACGTTTCATTTGAAGAATAATGTACTACCCACCCCAAATGATAGGAATAAGACCTTAAAATAGATCTAATCACTCATATGAGAAGAATTTTTAAGATTTATGAATATGTGAAACTAAGAGTCTTTTCGCTACCTTGTGGGGGTAGGATATTATTTATTTTATTCAGAAGTCTAATATCCCTACGAGCAGAAGTCCTCATAGCTAATTGCACCTCATGAGTTACAAGTCCTGAAATTATTCTCAATTAAAGTATTGACTTATGTATATATATATATTGATCCTTGCAATGTCATCATTGGAACTCTCTCCATGGTTTACTATGAAGTTGCGCCAGGGAAAATCATTAAGCTAAAGGCAAACACTTTGAAAGCTAAGAGTTAGATAGTAACTGTGAGAAAATAACTCTAGACTTTGAGGATAAGTAAATGCGATATATTATATATATGGGCACAAAACAAGCATAAATGGAAAGATAAAATTTTCTCAACAAAGTTGTTCATAATTTATGGGATTTGAAAAGCTTCACTCGCGTCATTGTGAGATTGCAATACGTCAAATTAGTTGGTAGATTAACATGCGTTAATTACATTGTCTAGATACTTGTTTCTTTACAAGGAGTTCATAATCTTAGTTCAATGGTTTTCCATGGGCATAAGCGTCTAAGGTTAAATACTTTTCCCACGAGAGAGAGCATTTTTTATCGGTGTTTTATGCCATTTGTAGCTTGGTTGTTTATGCACTTTTAGCTTTGTTTGTTGTGTTACTTATAAATTATAATATCATTATCTACACAAGCTACGGGCTTCAGATTGGCTCACAAATAAGATACTACCTAAAAAGTTTGCCTTTTCATGCATAGGTAAGGCGGTATGGATGTAAAAACTAAAGTTTAGGTGCTTAGTATGTATATACATAAGAATTGAGTGGTATATATAAAAATATTCTTTAAAACTGAAGGTAGAACTTTTAAGCCATCCATTTAGCCAAATTTTTTCGAGCTAATCTTTTTTATGAACTAGATCAAAAAAAAAAAAAATGAAAATATTGGCTCAGAAGAAAATGAGAAACTCTATATTTGAGCTGACATGCTACTTCTCCATATGAAACATGCTGCTTTAAGAAGATTCCTGTAGTTTTTTTCCTCGAGGGGAATTTGCTACCACATACTAGTGAGGATAATCATCCACGACCCATCTTTGAGCTGACGTGCACATGTTTACTATCAATGACAAAAATGCAATTCTGCAACAATAATGTCAAATATTTATGCAAATTGGTGTGCATGCAACTTTTATTTTTTCTAATAATTATATTGATGGATATGGCTTTATCTATGATGCAGATGCACAAATGATAATTTTTTTGCCGTCTTCAAATACTATCCATCGCTGTTGACCACTGCCTGCTACCATCGGCCACCAACGATCGGACGTTGCCAATCGCTATCGATCGCCACCTGTCCCTAGTAGCAAATTCATTCGCACTTCAACGTTGTAATTCGAAAGACTTTGTAGCTCTTTCCTTCTTGTGAGACAAGTGACCTTTGTAATCATCAACTTATAGTGAATTTTTACAATTGGATTAAACATTTTGGTTTTTCTATTTAAGAAGTTTTCACATAAATACTTTTGGTGTCACTATTGGTTGTTTTCTTTTATCTGAATGTGTACTGAATTTTTATGCAAAGTTAAGACGATAATTCATTACCCTAAACCCTAAACCCTAAACCCTACTAAACAAAATATTTGAGTTTGGTGAGACTTAAAACAATTAAATTTGAAATTTCAAAATATAATTGCATTAAATTTGGGACATTCTACATACCATACATACTTAGGCAACTTAATTTGTAATTAATTTGTGAGACCTATTGCTCTTATTAAATATTTTTTAAAATATTACTATTTTATTTATTTATTAAACAAATGTATAGGAGTTATAAGTTAATCTATATCCTAAGTCATATGCTTTTATGTAATAAAAGTGTCACTTTAGGACAAGTAACATTTAAGTTTGGATATTTTGATATACCAAAATATTATGTTGCTTTAAGTATACATTGTATGCTTATTTTTCTGTGATATTAAACTTTAAAGAAGAGTATTTTTATGTTTTTATTGCAGGTACATTAATTTTAGGCATTTAGAGCAAAAGTATAAATTTATGCAATAAAAAAACATAAAAAGTAATAGTTCTTGAAGTGTGAAGCCCTTTAGTTGGATGAGAGTACAAAGGGTAATTAGGAAGAGGTTTAAACTAACTTATACTTAATCGGAAATTGATTAATAATATCACGAACTACTCCTTGACTATTTATTTATTATCTCATTCTAATAATATTTTTTTCCCAAGCATCTCACTACCGTGTGCCAAAAGCAAATCATCATGATCTTTAAAGACGTGGAAGTACATGTGATCATAGTTTAATCAAGGCTAAGTTGACAACCAAAATATAAAAATAAACACTAATATTAATAATGATCCTTTCATACAATTAAAATATTGTGAAATGCTAAGCACCACCTGCTACTCATCTTCCGAATTCCAAATAATCCATCACACTTCTATTCCTCCATGTTTCAGGAGGGGAGATCGAAGACAATAAACAGACTCTTCTTCTCTTCTGCTCTCATTTTATTAAAATTTAAGTCTTTTATTTCTTCCTTAATGCTTCTTTTTTTCAGATACTTGATTCTTTGCAGCTTCTGTCTGCTCCTCTCCTAAAATAATTTTTGTCATATATATTTTTAGTCATAAACTTTCCATACTGAATTTTAAATAGTATTATCTGTTAATTAAAAAAAAAAAATTTTTGGTGGAAGTTAGGTAATCTTATTATTATATATTAACGTTTACCAACTCTATATGGAGAAGTCCCTCTCCTTCGCCATTGAGGTGACTCTTTATCTCTTTTTCTATGAAGGAAGCGTCATGCATACAGGCCAAATGACTGCCAATAAATTATTATGAAGTTTAGTTGTTTTTGATTTTTTAGAGAGAGAATGATAAATCTTGTATCAGTTGCAGTCTGAGCATAATATAGATCGAGAAGGAAGAAATGGGAAGGTTGGCGTGTCTAGTGGAGGTCAGGCATCGATTGGCTAGAAGTCTGTAAGTCCCTTCTTCTCAACTCTTCTGTTCTTCATTACATTTTCATCTGAAAACTTCAGTAACTAGTTCTGATCTTTGCCTTGTATTGGTTAATTTCATGTTGATATGAACTTCGAACCTACTTTTACTAGCTTTTTCTTGCTTATGCTTTAGACTCTGCATTTATGATTATTAAATTTGCTATCTTTCAATAATTGAATATTTGCAGAAAATCTCAATTCAGCATCAAATTTCCACCGTTAAAGCATTTGTTCCATAATTTGGGTTCTTAATATCTACAAAACATAATTTTTAGAAAGCATAGTCTTGTAGTCGGTGCTTCTGTTGACCAACTTCACTCTGCAGCTTGCAGTAATTATGTCTCTCTCTCTCTCTCTCTCTCGCTCTCTCGATTAAACCTGAGCATCCAGATCCATAATTTTCTGCTCAATAAAATTAGTATTATATATATAATGTACTGCCCTTCAAATCTTATTTGATGCTGCGCCCAGTAAGCCACATGGGAGTTAGGATTTAATCTCATATTGGATAATTAAAACTCTTACTGACATAGCAGTACGAAATAGATGATTTTTCATTTATAACTTTTAATTTATTTTGGCTTGATTGAAAATATTGTTGGCAGACAAATTTCAAATGATATGTGTTTAAGAGATATGATAGAAAAAGAAGAAGGTATAGGTGCAGTTAATGATTAGGTTTAAGAGATATCGTGAAAGATAGAGGAAAGAATATCTAGGTGCAATTAATGATTTGATTTGACAAATATAAAATGGGTTTGAAACTATAGAGAAGCCTTGCTGTCCTTGCAGAGAGCAATTAAGGCACGTCAATCCCTCACAAACAAAACTATGACAGCAACCCCATGCACGGACAAGCCTTGTTGTTTGAACAAAAAGAGATGCCATCAATAATAAAAAAGCTCGTTTGATAAAAAATGATATGGTTGTTCACCAGAATGGGCCACGGGTTCATAAAATATTATAAGGGCTTTACCCATCTAGAACTTTTTTCATTGTGGCAAAGGCGAATTAATAGTAGAGCCTGTTAATAGAGGGATAAGTTAGCAATTAGGCCCAAAAGTTTCCATTCCAAGTAAAACAACAACAAACCAATGATGAATGCAAATCTTGATCGAATGGAGATCGACCAAGTCATAGAGGACCTCATTCTAGTGTAGAAAGAAAAATAAAATCAAAGGATAAACTAAGTATTCAAGCATTATAAGAATAATAAATTTAGTTACTCATAAATAATTTTGAAACATCTTCATTTTAGCTAATATATATATATATATATATATATATATATATATATTTCTTTTCCTTTAATGTCGTATGAAATCCTTGAAGTTGATTCCTTTAGAGATAATGCCTCTTGAGATTGTGCTTCTTTCATTACATCATTGGTCACCAAGTAATTCCCAAGTGCTCACCCTATATTTTGGAATTTTATTTATTAATAACTTCTTAAAATTTAAGTTAATTATATCTTATTGATATTTATAATAATCTTTAAGCAACATATGTGTATCCTTATGCTCTTGGTGCAAATAGTGTGAGAGCTTGAAATCTCATCTATCGAGATATTGTCCACTTTGATCTAAATACTTTCTGATTTTGTCATTAATATAATTTCACAAGAGATTTCCCATCTCAGGAATTAATGCTCCCACCTGAGCATCCTTTACTTTAAAGTTTCGGATGAACCTACAACTATTACATTAAATTGGGTCTTAATATTTAAGAGTTCAACTTCATTCTACATAAGAGGTTTCGAATACATTTAAGTAGCTAACATTCTTGTCAATACTTTTAATCCATAATCAGTCACCAAACACATATTACAATCTTCAGGCTAGTGAACATAACTCTAACATCATTTTTAAGAGCATGAATTCTTATAGATTGAGATATTATCCACTTCAACCTTATGGTCTCATTGTTTTGTCTCATTTGTGTAACTTTCTAAGAGGACACTGCTCTCAAAAGTGCTCCCACATGAGCATGCTTAATTATAGAGTTTATGATGAAATTCCAACTGTTACACCAAAAGGTGTTTGATGTTAAATAGTTCAGCTTCATTCTACTTAGAAGGTTTTATGAAGAGTGCATAATGAAAAAAGCTGAAGTTAATATTGATTGTATAGTGTTTTGGATATTATATCATTTCATGCATTAGTAAGGCTTAACGTAAGCCCATTAATGTAATCTAATTAAAAAAACATGCCCCTCTCCTTATCATTAGTTGGTTGCTAATACCCATTCACCAGACAACTAGCTTTCAAACCACTTTTTTTTAAAATTCAATAAAATTAATGATGGTAAAGTTAAGGGGTTTTTAGAATAAAATGAAGCAACATCGGGATGAACTACTAATAATGCATTTAGAATCTTCTTGTTGATTATAAAAGTTCAGCGTTCTCCTTAGAATACTAGTTTTTTCATAATAATAACATGATAAATTCTTAATGCATTATGATGTGACTTTCATTAATTCTTATTATGTATCCTTAAGGTAGATTCTATAAATACTCTTTGAAATTAAATAATCTCTTTTTTATAACACTTTTGCCTTTCAAAAAGTATATATTCATTTTCTTTGATGATAAAGATATTCCCCTTAGTGCTTTGTTCTATTTTAATTTATCAAACCCTAAAAAATATTTTCATTAATGAGCTTTTTATTCAATCATTGATCATTCATTCACCGAAAATCTTTGTTCCATTGACTTTCTAATGAGCATGACTAAGACCACAAAAAAAAGCTCAATACTTATAGATCAATTTTTTATTTGATTCACTTTTAGTATCCCAACTAAGAAATATAAATAAAATATAATACATGGATCAAAGAATGTCTACCTTATCAGGTAGTACTATGAGGTAGGGTAAAGCTCCCTTACACACAAAAGGTGAACATTATTTTAAGGAATATATAGATATTTTCCAAGTATCTCTATATTTCTCTTATACCTACAATTTTAAAGGGCATGAAGTTACCCTTTAGTAAATATTGTATTCTCTTATCAATATAATAGCTCACATTATTTTTCAAGCCCATGTCATTTCTTTTGGTAAAGCCTTCTTAGGCTTTAAACTTAATATATATTCCACTTAATTTTCAATAAGGGTTCAAAGAGTAGAAATTTCTTCATGATAGTGGACAAGTATTGAAAGTTCCTGGCTATTCTAGACTGCTAATATTAAGCCCTTCCAACATTAAGTCTATATAAAAGAGATAAAATGATGCTTGACTTAATAATATTAGATCTAAATGACATTCAATCCAGTTTGATATTGTGAAATACCCCAAATGGTTGAATCACCTACTTTATAAAAGCATATCAAATGAAGTTAAGAACCAAAATAATGATTAATGAGAAAATAGAAGACACTAACTTGGATGGTGATTTTTTATTATTAGGGTTTTTGGTAGAAGTACAATGCTTAGGATTTCTTTAATAATTAAGTGATCAATCAGAATTTCTTAAATAGTTCCCTTAAGTGTGTGAGTTCTAAGGGAAGAAGTGGATTAAGAGGCTAGAAGAAAAGAAAAAAAAAAAGAAAAAAAAAATTAAGTTACTTGGTAGAATAAGTAATGTTAGAATATGACTTAATAAGAGCCAACATAAAACTTTTTGCTTGGAGCATTTTATAACTCTTAATATTGTAATTACATTGAAATAAGTACCCAATAGAAAAATTTTAAGGCATGACCTTCCCTATTTCGGTAGAACTTCTATTAGGATATATTTCTTTTATTTTTGGGGTAGAAATGCATAACATAAAGAATTTTATTGGGCCCACTCTTTATTTTATATCCATACCTTTTGCTTCTCTCATGAAGCCTATAAAAAGGCCAATGAATGGATAAATATTGATTCCATTTGTTATATCGAAGGTTTTTTATCCTTTTTTTTGTTCTTCTTGTCAATGGGTGTGTAAAATTTTTTTTCTTACCTTAGCTCTCTTTACTCCCCTCCAATCCAAATTGTTCACAAACATATTTATGCTCAAATCTATTTCCAATTATATTATCACATTTAATAATAATACCATTGCTTACTTCTTACTTTTTTTTGGTACCATACTATCTCTAGATACACTTTTTGAGTTATCATATATTACCACCTTTTATTTGTATGGAAATATAAAACAACTTATGATATTTGCCAAGATTATGTCATATAATCCAAAAATATGATAACTTAGCTTACATACAAACTATATTATACCTACCACATGTAATAAAATTGATGTCATATTATCACATAATATCATGTAATTAGATCAGATCATGACTTGCAGTTAGAAGGTAGATCATTGTTTTTTTTCCTAATCATTACCATTACTTTAAAGTTAACCCTACGACTATATGATATATTAACTACAAGCTATCTAATTATTTTGCAAATGTGTATTTCTCATTCATATGTAATTTTCTACTTCACTCTATTATTTTTTATCACTGCTCTAATCAATGCCCTAATAATATTCTTACAATTATACTCCAATTCAAAAAAACTTGTACACTATAACAAATAACATCAAGTTATGGAGTGATAATGAGAAAGGATCTCCAATAATACATTCAAAAATTTATAATTATGCATCATCTCATACCAAATCATTCTTAAAATTAAAATAAAATAAAGTATGTTATTATCCAACTTATAAAGCTAATATATTCATAGTAAAGAAAAATATGGAGCCACTAAACTTGTAAGAGATACGAGCAATGCATTAGATAGTATGACATATATATTTTAATAGTTTATTATTACTAGTCTACAAGATTACATAACCATTATCTTGGTTTGTAATATATCATGAATTTAAATTTATGTATTGTAGATATAGTGGTTCTACTAAAGAAAAAAATTATAAAAGATTATTAAGAAAATAGTTAATATATTAGAACCCAAATACAAGTTGCAATGCTTGAAACTTCCATAATTACAAAGTATTTACCTTAGAAAGCTTATATTTCATGATTTTATAATTATAGATACATGAAATCAAGTATGACCATCATCCTACATATATGTTCTTTATTCTTATAAAAAATTAACGTCACACTTCTACAATAAGGTAGTATAAAGCTCAATTAGTCACTTGAAACATAACAGTTCATTTAATACATAATAAAGGAAAAAACATGCATAAAAGTTGTGTTAATAAGTATATTATATTTGAGCAATTATATCCTAAGTTTTGACTTAAGTATCCTAAACCGAAGAAATAAGTCAATACATAACCAATGGTGCATTATTGAATTTTTATATCATATGCATATAAGTCAAAATATTAAACCAAAATATTATGTCATAATCCTAAATCATAGCATGGATCATAGTCTATTCATAGACATTATTTCCAATCATATGTGCAAGCTAGTTCTAAAGATACAATATCATAGAGTCATGTATAATGCTAATTCAAAATAAATTAATTAAACGTTATGTCAAAACAAATAATTTACACATCAAGCTACAAAATAATATTATGGGTATGGATATGATCATGCATAATTAAAAGAGAACGTGCATGCTTAAGTATTTAGTGAAGGATATGTAGACAAAGTTTATTATGTCATAATCAAGCCTAATAGAATAAGAAATCAATCATAAATCATGATTGTAAGTCATATTAGATAATGTTAAAATGTTCATCAACTAGTAGTATGACAAATTGTGGTATTCCCCATAATGGTCAAATCAGATTGACTTTCACATCCAATGGCAGCAACAAAAACTTTAATTTTTCTTGAGGAAAATATTAAAATTTTAATTTTACAGTACTATTTTCCTCTCTCTGAAAATACTTGTACTTATTTTATCATTTATCATTTGTTTTCATATAGTTATGATTAATTCAATCTTATTCAAATTTTATAATATTTATCCAGTTCTGATGCAAGCCAAAGGACTTCCCCCAAATTTAGTAGCTTCAGAGAAACTGCAAAGTTGATCAATTTTAATCAAGAAAGGATCACAGGCAGCAAGATCCGATGGTTCAAGTACCTCATTGTATTGGCTGTGTTTGGAACCTTACTAAAAGTTCTTCATTCTCCAACAGAAAATCATCATACAAATTCCTCCACTCCTCTTATTTGGTACATCCTTTCCCTTCAAACATGTTAATTGTTTGACGTAGAAGATTCTTCTCTTTTTTCTCTTGTGTAAATCTTCTACAGAAAAGAAAAAGATTGCATTCATAGGTATAGAGCAAATTAATTTGAATCCAAGTCTCTGAACTTTAAATTCAACAAATACAGGTCAAGTTTCACAGGCGTTAGATGGATGTGGAATAAGGCAAATATTGATCCAAGATATGCATCAAACGTTGACATTAAATGGTCTGAAATACAACAAGCAATGACCAAAATGGATGCGAAACAAAATTTGAAGATTGCTTTGTTGAATTTTAACAACACAGAAATCATTCACTGGCAAAAGCTATTGCCAGGTGCTAAAATTTCCAATGTTAAGCTAGAAAAAGCAGAAAAAAATTTAACTTGGGATGACCTCTATCCCGAATGGATTGATGAGGAAGAAGAATCAGAAGTTCCTTTTTGCAGGAGTCTTCCCAATCCTGAGGTCCCAAAAGAATCAAAATTTGGACTTGTTGCAGTGAAGCTTCCATGCAATAAGACTGGTAACTGGACAAGGGATATAGCACGGTTGCATTTGCAGCTTGCAGCCGCAAAAATTTCTTCATATTCAAAGGGAGGGCATGAGTCGGCCCACGTTCTTGTTGTCTCAGACTGCCTTCCAATACCAAACCTATTTCCATGCAGGCTACTTGTTACTAGAAAGGGGAATGCTTGGTTATACAAGCCTAACTTGCAGGTTTTAAGGCACAAACTCGAGCTTCCGATCGGTTCATGTGAACTATCACTTCCACTTAAAGAGGCAGGTGAGTTTACAATCTATATGCCTTGTTGTGGCTTTCCAATATTTCTCTAATTGTAGAGGTACTGACCTAAATTCCATGGGACAATTTTTACAGTAAGATCATATTCCAACAATGCCCGGAGAGAAGCTTATGCTACAATTCTACACTCAGTAGACGTATATGTGTGTGGCGCCATCACTGCAGCTCAAAGCATTCGTCTAACAGGCTCAACCAGAGACCTGGTCATCCTCGTCGATGAAACAATCAGCAACCACTACAAAAATGGGCTTGAAGCCGCAGGTTGGAAGATAAAAAAGATCAAAAGAATAAGAAACCCAAAAGCAGAGAAGGATGCTTACAACGAATGGAATTACAGCAAATTCCGGCTATGGCAGCTCATTGAATATGACAAAGTTATCTTCATCGACGCCGACCTTCTCGTCCTTAGAAACATCGACTTCCTCTTCACCATGCCGGAGATCAGCGCTTCAGGCAACAACGGAACTTTGTTTAACTCAGGCGTCATGGTGATTGAGCCCTCCATCTGCACTTTCAAGCTGCTAATGGAGAATATCAATGAAATAAAATCATATAATGGTGGTGATCAGGGATATTTGAATGAGATCTTTACCTGGTGGCATAGAATCCCGAGGCACATGAATTTCCTGAAGCATTTTTGGATTGGTGATGAGGAGGAGAAGAAAGCCATGAAAACTCGATTGTTTGGCGCTGAGCCCCCTGTTCTCTATTTGCTTCATTACTTGGGGCTGAAGCCATGGCTGTGCTTCAGAGACTACGACTGTAACTGGAATGTGGATTTCATGCAAGAGTTTGCCAGTGATGTGGCGCATAAAAGGTGGTGGAAAGTTTATGATTTGATGCCCAAAAAGCTTCAAAAATACTGTCTTTTGAGCACCCATAGGAAGGCGGCTTTGGAGTGGGATAGAAGACGAGCGGAGAGGGAGAATTACTTGGACGGACATTGGAGGAGGAATGTGAGTGATCCAAGACTGCATATCTGTAAGGGAAATTACTGTGACTGGAAGACAATGCTGCTCAACTGGAAAGATAGAAGCTATCACATTCGCGGACCAGCACCCAAACAACCAGAGAAAAAACTAACTGGCCTCTGATCTCTGCTTCTGTTCTCACTTTATTTGGGTAATCTGGATGGTTTGTATAAACAACAAGATATTCATATCAAGACAATTTTTTTGTTCTTTACAAAATATAATATGGTACTATAATGATTTGAAAAGGGAAGCATCATTTGTTACAGGCCATTATTCAAAGGGTTATTTTAATATAAGATAAATTAGCTCACGCTCTTGTTGATTTAGAGAGCCGTTTGGTTGTTTATACATATTTTTTTTCATACTCATTATACAGATTTTTTAACGTGAAACAAGCTCCTGATCCAACATGTGGTAAAACACTCGTAATCACACCAGCATGCATATTATAATTCTATATATCAGTTCCACGTGAAATGAATTAGTTTTTCAAACAGTCTAATTAATAGTACTATTTCTACGTCCAGTCCAAAAGGTTTTAGTATTTTGAATGATTTTCCTAAATTTCAAATGTATGAAAACAAAACCTTTTATTTTTTGGGTTTTGCTACTGCTAAAAAAAGTCTTCCTTAAATTGAATATTGCAAAATTTCAATCGTTCATCTACCAATTTTTTTCTCTATTGTAGTTGACAACTAGAGAAAATTACTTATTACTCTATTCTTAAACATAAGAAGCATTAGAAGCCCCCTAAAAAGACTCAGGAATCCTCGTTCTTCTATTTGAATGTAAATTCATAACGCAATATTTCTATTCTATAAGAATTGTTTATCTAACCTAATTGTTCCATCTAGTACATATTCAATAGTCTTAAATCACAATCAATTTAAATATTTCTAGTGTTCAACCAAAAGGTAAATAAATCATGAAATATTAACACATTAAGTTGGTATAATTTTTTTAAGTTATTTCCTTGTGAGATAATATGCGGTACTCTAAATCCATATTATTATTTGAGACGTACGTAACTTCTCCTTTTGATTGGCTCAAAATCTTCTCAAATATACATCAATGTGACCCTCTGGCTTCATTTTTATAAAGCTGCTAAACTGTTTCCAACTGTTGGGGCAGTGGCTTCTAGAATTGGCTTTCCATGCTTTAAGAATTTTGGGTGAATTTCTCAGTGTCGGTGCTGAGCCGCCCCTAATCTATTGTCGTGGCGCTCAATGATGGTGTTGCATTAACATTAAGAACCTATGAAACAAATTCTTACCGAGGGATTTCTTTATGTATTTTAATCTATTTATGTCCCAAATTGGAGCATTAAATTACATCAAATCTCACAAAATTTGAGTCATTATCCCTTCTATAAATCTTAACTCTTACCATTCGATGATATGATTGACTACGTAAAAATATCACAAGTTTCTACAACACGTTCAGTTAACTTAAAAGTCATCATAATTAGTTACTTAATATCCATAAATTTTAATATAGAGGTGCTCAACTTTTTTTTTCCATTAAAAAAACGTGACGGTCTATTAAAAGTAATCTCAACCAAAAAAAGAAGTTGAAATAAAATCCTAGATTAATCAATTTTTCCTCTTATCATGTCATCCCCACTTCTACGAAAAAAATATTACATCAGAATTCAACACTAATGCTTAGGACTCTAATAAAATTATGTCACGTGTCCGGAGGAGGCGGATCATACATTAAAGTATAATTTTTTTTTTCTATCGTGTGTGACGCGATACAATTTCATTAGAGTGCACTGGAACTCCTGAAGTGATATTAACCTTAAAACCTTTTAACAATTTATTTGCTATATGTAGATTCCTAAAATCATTAAATATCTCCACATAATCCTCACATTGAATATATTTTAATGGGTGCATTAAATTTTATGTCAATCAAATAATAACTTTTATGCTCATAAAAAATAAATTAAATAAACCAAAGTAAAAGCAAACAATGACATATAAATCATTGAAAAACCAGTATTTACACATCGGCCCCCTTTTTAATCCATTTTTCAAATTCTCACTAAAATATCAAAATTCATGCCAAAATTCCAACCCATATTTTTCATTTCTATTAAATTCTCAATAGTTTGATCATGATGCATAAATATATGGGTTAAGCAAAAAAAAAATCATATGAGAGCTTAATTTGTAAATTTTAATGTTTCGGGTGGTTAGTATATAATTATCCCCAAAACCAAATAGCTGCATTTATTTCAATTTTTTTTTAATTTAATTTTAGTGGTGATATGCCATTAACAAATTATCATCCAGTGCATATCTCGATGCATGACACAGATCTCAAGACAACATTTTGAGCAAGAATTATTCTAACTTAAATTATGAGTCATCCAGTTTAACAAACTTATAATCAAACTAACTAGCTCGATGATACCAAAATTGATCTAATTCAAGTTAAATCAAGCTTAGATTAAGCCATTAAATTGCACTTGAAACTTTTTCAGTCATTTTTAAAAGGTCAAATGGATATCAAATATGACGAACTTATAATTGAATCGAGTGTCTCGACAAGACGAATCCAACAAGCCCATGATTGCCCAATTTCAACATTATTAAGGTATTCAAATGAACCATCAAACGTCGTATGATCAAAGAAATCTCTCATGATCGTCTAATTAGAGTGGTTCAACTTTCATTGCTAATTGTAGTCAGGACAATAAGTAGGAGTCCCACCGCTCTCATGAGGAGGGAGGAAAGCTTGAAGCCTGAAGAAGAGTTTGAAGTTTTGAGAGAGAGCTCAAGTCTAGCATCATTTCGGCCAACGTTGTCGATCATCACTTGTTGGCCCTCATCGATCATTATGGGCACCACCCATTTCTTGTGACAAGTTCCTCAGCGCATCGATGTTGTAACTCGAAAGACTTTGCATCTCTTTTTTGCTTGTGGGACAAGAGTTTGTACTTTTAATCTTCAGTTTGTGGTGAATCTTTTCAGCTGGGTTAGTCCTCATAATTTTTTCCCTTTACCGGTTTTTCACATAAAAAATTTTGGTGCCACTATATGTTGATTTCTTATGTATCAGCTTGTTGTCATTTGTGGGAATTGATCATTCTCATCACTACAGTACTTACGAGGTATGCTGCATAGCCACCAGACGCAATGCTAAAAAATAAAACATCCCACTCCAACACCTATCAATCAAGAAGACACGTATCAAATGCAATAAATATATATATGAAAATATATATATTTGTATTTTTTTAATTTTTAAATATATGCTTATTTACTATATTTTTTCCATATCTTTTATTTTTTTTTCATATATATATATATATATATTTAAAAAACTAATAATAATGAGAATTTTCATGTAATCAAATGAATTGTGTGGTAGGCATGTGAATGCCCCTAAAAAGAAATATGAAAATAGGGAGTAGTTAAGTAGATCGTTTAGTGCCACATCGTTTAGAACAAATTGTAGGAAGAGAAATACTCCTATATAAACATAACGAGCTCTCCTCCGCCAAAGTGATCCTTCTAGGTTTAAGGGATGTGATGAGCGGTCAATGCTCGCTTTGCGAGAAGGGCGCCCTGCCCATTATTTTGTTACGACAAATAAGGGTGCTCCCCACTTAACCGATCTGATCCCAATTAAAGTCAATTCAAGCTTCTTTTTGTTGTAGTTATGGACGGTCTTGTCTTGCGGGTACGCTGAATTCATTAAAACATTTGAAATATTAGTGAATTTCTTCTTCGGCAATTTAGAGCTTAGGTTTAACAAGAAAAAACAAACGAGCTAGCCCAACTTTTATCTCGTGGGTTATTAACTGCATTAAGTATGTTGGCTTGATCTTTGCAACGGAGTTTGTTTGTTTTTAGTTTATTTCTGAAAAAATATTGTAGTTTTACGACTCGGCTCTATTTGAATATTTAACATTAAGTGCATTAAGTATGTTGACTCTAGTTCACTGAGAGATTGTCAGGTTTATTATCAAGTCTTTTATAAGATTTGATGTGTTAGAAGATTTGTGTTGGTAGAGCAATGAAATATAATTTTAACATTATATTAGAATTTTACACACTCATTGATGTGTGATAGAAAATTCGTGGCGGTAGAGTAATGAATTATCTTTTTAGCGTTGCACGAGAATTCGACACACAGATAAAAGAAACCTTAAATTGTTATGTGAAAAATTCTTAAAAAAATGAAAAACTACAGGGTCTAGCCCAATTAAGATAATCTACTATGAATGATAAGTACACATATCTAATTTTCTCCTAAAAAAGGGAAGATGAAATTAAAAAAGTTATATAACTATAATCTGGTTGAAAACTTGGTGACAACAGGTTATAAGGGTCATTGTTGATTGTTTTCGAAGTAGTAGTCCATCGTGAGTGTTGTAGATGACTGCTCCAAAAGCGTTGATTGGCCAAAAAAATCGTAATAAGCAGTCGCGGGAACTTAGACCACATAAGCCGTAGTGTCAAGTATGAATGCGTCCATAGGCCACCGGGGTCGGAGTCGGGGAGCTGCACAAGTTATGAACCAGGTAGACCGTAGGGGAAAGTATGAATGTCGTCCGTAGGTTGGAGTTTGGAACTACACAAGCCCTAAATCACGTAAGTCTAGGAGCGAGTATAAATGACGTCCATAGGCCGTGGGGGCCGGAGTTAGGAGCTGCATTGACCGATGACCACCTAAGTCATTGTTGACACATGAACTCTAGTGATGGACTCTTGTCCCACAGACGGGAAATAGTTACTAGATTTTTAAAGTTATAACATTGACTGATAGTGTCTGATTGGTAGTGCTTAACGACGGTTGACAGTGGTTGATGACGTTCAACAGTGGTCGACTGAAGTCGACGGTGGTCGGCGGTGATTGACAGTGGTCAACGATAATGTTGAGCTGCAGCTCCTTCCGAATGCCTCAGGCTTTCTCTCTATGTTTCAACTCCTCCTGCATGAAAGAGGTAGGTGACTACTTATAGTGTTCTAGGTGTCATTAATGTAGAAATATAAACCATTTTAAAGGGACGGTCTGAAAAACTTTCCTTAATCAAATGACATTTAATGAGTATTTGAGTATTTTAACAATGTCAAAATTGAGCAATCTTGGACTCATTAGATTTGTCTTGTCGAGACACTCAATTATATTATAAACTTGTTAGATTCGACATTAGTTTACATTCCAAATGTGTCCGAAAATCTTCCAAGTCTGATTTAATGACCATATTCGGGCTTGATTTGACTCAGATTGGATTAACTTTGATATCATGGGTCCGTCTTATTGAGACGGTCTGAAATCGAAGCTCTTGATGAATTTAATTGAAGTCTAAATGTTTG